TGAGTCCTGTTTGCCTGTCTCCTCCTTCAGCCATCAGGAAGGAGGCTTGACCAAGGTCAGCCCAAAGTGGAGAGAGTGGGGACAGAGCTGGGCAGAAGCAGGCCTGTACCCTCTGCATTTTATGGCAGCTTTGGTGCCCACTCCTGTCCACTCTCCAGATCACTCAGACACGACAGATGGGCTGTGGCAATTTCTTCCATGGATTTCTTCATTGGCACAAATCAGGAATTCAGGCACTCACTGTCAGTCATCAGAGTGCACATCAGGACACACGCACCTCTGTCACTCAACAGAGGGGCCTCTTAGCACTACTGGGGCTTTCAGCACTCAGTGCCAGGCGTGGATTTTACCAGAAGGGAACTGCTCAGCTCTGTAGGCAGACCATCCTGGCCACTCAGAGCCTGCTGCAGCTGCTTAAGAGAGGCTCTTTCTGAGGTATGGCATGCAATTAACACCCTCCATGACGCTGCCAACCTGGAGAGTGGTCTCTTTCTTCTTCTCCAAGACCCTTTAAATGAGCACCAGTAAATTAAATCACCAAAGTGACATCAGGTTTCTAATGGGGTTGTCCATTTCCTCTCACAGGCAAGGTTGCTGGGCATCACTGTTTGCAGTAATGCCATCCAGGAAACAAGCAGGTAGCCTCACTCTTCACACGTGGTTCCCAGACCTCTGCCCCATGGGTGAGGTGGAAGGCAGGCAGGGTCAGGTTCTGGAGCCTGTCCCCAAGACACTTAAAGTAGGAGGGAGATGGGACTCACATAGAGAGGGAGACTTCAGATAGAAGGGATATTTGGAGCCCTGTGCTGTGATCTATACTCATCAGGAGAGTGGAGTTAAGAAGAGGAGCCTAGTTTTAGGCTCCTCTGATTTAACAAGATGCCCAGGGAAAGCATAAGCCTTAACATCAGACAGACCTAGGTTAAAATTACAGCCCATGTCCCTGGATGTGTGCCTTTGAACACTTTCTAGCACTGCCCTGAGTCCTAAACCAGGCTTCTGGGAAATCCCTGAGGGTCAGAAAGCACAAGGGCTGGCACAAGGAGCCTGAGTCAGGCAGGTCCCACAGAGCAGTGCTTTCGCATGGGACCTGTCCACAACACTCAACTGTGCAGCGCTTTGAGTTGGGTTAGGATAGGGGACTAGCAAAGAATTCCAACTGTTTTTTGTTTTGTTGAGATAGGGTCTCACTAGGTAGCTCAGGCTGTCTTGGACCCCAACTCAGAGAGATTAACCTGCCTCTGTCTCTTGAGTGCTAAAGGTGTTCACTGTTACACCTGGCTTGTTTTGTGTGGTCTTTAATCCAGCTGTTTGTAGGCTCACAGGGAGCATCAAGCTTAAGACAGTGAAGACAGTGCTGTATGTATCTGGCCATGTATCTAGGAGGGCGAACAGGAAGTAGGCACCAGCTCTTGATGGAGAAACGAGAAGTAAAGAGAGGAGAGAAGCTAAGTGCTGCAGGTTTGTACACACCAGTAGGACCATGGGTCTTTCTCCTTAATACACACATGGCTTTCTACACCTCTTGGCTCCACACCCACAGATTCACCCACATACACATCCAAAGTGCTTTAAATAAAACTGTGTCTGTAGGGGTTGGAAAGATGGCTTAGTGGTTAGGAGTGCCTGCTGCTCTTGCAGAGGATCCAGACTCAGTTTTGAGCACTTATACGGTGGTACAACCATTTGTAATTCCAGTTCTCGGGGATCTGATAACCTCTTCTGACCTCCTCTGGCACTGCACATACATGACATACATACATACATGCAGGAAAAAATACCCAGACACATAAAGTAAATACACGTTTAAAAATTGTGTCTGTAGTGAATATGTACAGACTTTCTTGCCATTGTTCCTAAACATTATATCATAATAACTATTTGCATAACTTTCTCTTGGTCCTGGTTATTATAGGTCATCAGTGATGATTTAAAATATACAGGAGGGCTGGGGGTGGTGGCGCAGGTCTTTAATCCCAGCACTCAGGAGGCAGGTGGGTCTCTGTGAGTTCGAGGCCAGCCTGGTCTACAAGAGCTAGTTCCAGGACAGGCTTCAAAGCTACAGAGAAACCCTGTCTTGAAAAACAAAACAAAACAACCAAACAAAAATATGCAGGAGGATGTGAGGGTTATATGCAAATTCTAGGCTATATTACATAAGGGGCTGGGTATGTGCAGTCTGCAGGGGTCCTGGAACCAGTCCGTCATGATTACTGAAGGACAGTTATAGCGAACTAATACTGTAAGTTATATTGATTAATTTTCAACATCAATTGAACTTTACCTTCCTCAAATGAATCCTACTTAGGTTCTATTATTCCTTTTCTATACTACTGGGTTCAGTTTGATATATTGCATCCACATTCATGAGAGATACTGGTCTCTGGTTTTCTTTTCTAGTTATGTCTTTCCTTGGTTTTTATATATAAAAAAGCTGCTTTTACAATGGGAATGTTTCTAACACAGATATGAAGCTGCTTTCTTTCAGGCTCTATTATTATGAGCACTTGGGATATCCTTGACTAAATGCTTAACACAAGCCAAGTCCATTTCTGTCTCTCTTGGCCATGGTCTCATGATGATGTAGCTCAACCAGTTTTGAATGCTTGGGTTACTGGTGTGGGCCACCATCTCTATAGTATGAGCATTCAGCCAAAAATTTCAGGTTAAAAGAATTCTATTGAAGTTTGAGAAGTGACCCATATCATTATTCCAAGCACTTCAGGCAGAGGCAGCCCAATCTCTGTCAGTTCAAGGAGTTCAAGTTTGAGGCCACCCAGAGCTACATAGTGAAGTTGCCAATAAAACCATGGAAAGATAAATAAAAGCAAAAAGGCAGAATTATCTCTTAGTGATAAAGTTAAACAGTACCCAAAGTTTGCAATCATGGCCTAACCTGTTAGCGAAATACAAATATCGCAGAATTACGACTGTTGCCTTGTCCCCAACAAGGGCTTAGTGATTCAGCTCCTTAAAGGTCTCATGAGGCCAGAGGCCATTTCCTTCCTCTTGCCCACATCTCTGTTTCTCTGTCTCACCCTCTGCAGCTCAAATGTCCCATCTACATACATTGTGCCAGTCCTGCTCCACGCACTGACTCTGGGCCACTTCGGACCACTCTCCTGCCTGGGCACCAGACCCACATCTTGCTGCCTCTCTCATCACCTCATGGTGTCCCATAGGCCTTTAGAACTTGTCACACTCCTTTGGCAGAAGTGGCAGGTACAGAGAAATTGACCCGTGTCCCAAGAATCCATGCAGAGAACCCAGATGAGGGTTTGATCTGTTAGTAACATAACAGAACAAAGATTCGGAAAGAAAACACAGCTACATGAACCCACGGCATCACAAGCGAACGGCCTTACTCCTAGTGACAACCATCCCAGAGCAACTGTCTAGTTCTGGGTCTTCTTTTCTGTTGCTTTTATCTAGTTTACACAATTTTGCCCATCACAGGAAAGTATACTCAAATTGTCTTCTAAGAAAACTAGTTCTAGGATGAGGCTGATGAAAAGTGTATAGTCTTCTGAAAGGCTGCAGACCCTGCACGAGGGCCGAGAGCCTGCATGTGGGAAAGAAACTATTTCCATTAAGTGAGGGGTGCAGGGTCCACAGCAGAGCTCTGGCAGTTGAGAACTGAAGTCTGAACCTGGTCTTCAGGTCACTGGGGTGGCACCAGGGTAAAGAGCATGCTTCATCGAACCTCTGATACCCTTATCTGAGCTATGGTTTGTTCCTGACAAAACTCTCTGATGGTACAGGAAAGTGGGATGTCTGAGGGGTGTGGCCTAGTGGGACTGACTTGGTCCGGGACACTCTTAGGAAGGGGTTGGGAATGGCTTTGCACTGGGTCTTACAGGCAAAAGTGTTGACAGAGGTTTCTGCCCAGTCCTGCAGCCATTCAGTCCCAAAGAAACACACAGAGGTCTACATTAATTATAAACTGGTTGACCTATTTATTAGCTCAAGCTTCTTATTAATTGTTATATCTTACATCTTAACCCATAATTCTTGCCTGTGTTAGCTACGTGGCTTGTACCTTTTATCAGCAAGGCATTCTCATTTTGGTTCTTCTTGGTCTGGGTGAGCTTTCCCTCTTCCCAGAATTCTCCTGTTCTCATCACCCTGCCCCTACTTCCTGCCTGGTCACCCCACCTATACTTCTGCCTGGCTACTGGCCAATCAGCATTTTATTAAAGTATAAGTGACAAATCTTTACAAAATACAGAACCATTGTCCCATAGCATAGGAGTGGGTTGGTTCTGGGGAGAGGGGGTTTGCTGTACGAGTGAAGTGAACCCCTCCTTCCTCTCTTGTTTCCTTGTTTACCACGGGATGCCTCTCCTTCAGGAGCTTCTGTCCAGCAAGGCTCTGATACAAGAGCCTCTCAGAGGCCACAGTTGCTGCTAAGTTCCTAAACTTCCCAAACAGGAGTGCAAAGAAGCTGTCTTTTCTTTTCCTGCCTTCATTCCTTCAGTCCTTTCTTTTCTTCAGTGTTGGGGCCTCAACTGAAGATCTCCCACATGTTGGCAAATGTGTTCCATCTGAGCTGTATTTCTAACCATTTTTAACAGTGAGTATTCAGCTTCAGGTATTTCATTATAGCAATTTTATAACTCTTAAATATTGAAAACGGAGTTTCTCAACAGTTGTGGGATTGGTGCTTTGGGAGGGATAGTTTCTGAGCATGTTAGGAAGTATCCATGCCCTTTGTCCATCAGATATCAGTAATAGCCTCCTCAAAACCGTCATTGGTAACTGTCTTACCAGTGTCAAAATGCTTTAGATTTAGACTATGTAGGCCTCAGTTTGTATTCCCCTCTCACACCCTGAAACTGCTTGACCTTATGACCTCAAATTATTTCCTTCCTCTCTGGGCCTCAGTTTCCTCAGTTGTACTTTGGGGGAAACAGATGTGGGTTTGTGTCAGGAGTCAGCTCAACATCTGTTGATCAATTCTTCCGGGCCTCCTCTCCACCTTTGCTGTCCGTCCTGCTTACCTGTTCAGGAAGATGCTGCTGACGTCATCGTGTGTGATGGGAGGCTTCTTGGAGCTGGCCGCCATGCGTAGTGGGCGCAGGAAATTATTGACAAGGATGTGCAGTTGCTGCACGTACTCAGCCTCGGCTTCCAGCATACTGAACACCACCTGGTTCCTCTTGCGCATGCTGTCGGCGTGGGGAGACCGGATGTAGTCCTGGATAACTGTCTTCCACTTCCGCCGGCACAGCCAGCCCCGAAGGAAGCTCTGTACCTGGTAAGACCAGTGGGGGAGGTTTATGTTAGTATCAGTTACTCTTGGTTTTGTGAGCTGTGTGTACCTCAAGGGCAGGGAGTACCGGTTAGTCATCCCTGCTGCTGGGAGCATAGGGAAGCAGAGCTGAGATGTAGAGCAGGCTCTGCTGCCTGTGAGATGCTGAACGTGCTCTTTGGGCCCTCTGAGGCAACTTTTCTACCTGTGAAATAGGGTCAGGGAGCATCACCACAGTATGGATTAGATGGCTTAGAAGTGTGGATTCTAGGGCCTGCTTCAGGCCGCTGCATTTGAACAAGTTCCCTGATTGCTTTAGAAGAGCAAACGGAGGAAAAGAGGACTAGCGTGGGGAGGACTGCTAGGCTGTGCTTGGCATGGTTGCGTCTCGTCTAATGACTCTTCTGAGAGCTCAGAGGTTTCAATTAAAGTTTGTCTGGAGAGGGTAATTATCAAATTGAACAGAACATGGCAAATCTGCTCATCTCCAGCTTTTCCGTGGCTTTGGAGCCCAAGTGCCAGCCTGGAGCCTCTCCCGAATCAGCAGGGAAATGAGTCGGGCACTTGCTCAGTGGCCTTGAAGTTGGCTGAGAGAAGTGGTCTCTGACAAGTGGCAGGAGCTCGGGAAAGGGTCTTCACTCGCTCCCGTGCCTGGACACACACACGGACACACACAGAGAAATACATACAGAGAACACAGACACACATAAACATACATACAACACACATACACACAGAAACAGAGAAACACACACAGATACATGCAGATATATACATACACATACACACAGCCACATACACATAGCCACAGGTCATGCATACACAGACATATAAACATAGACATGTATACACTTACATGACAGATACACATAGACACATAAAGACACACAGATGTACACTGACATACTCATACAAGCACACACATGTGAAGACCCAGATACAAACAGACATACACGCAGTTGCTGTCTAGTTTTATGTCATCTGGATGCAGCTAGAGTCGTCAGAGAGGAGGGCCTCAAATGAGAAAGTGACTCCATAAGATTAGACTGTAGGACATTGTCTTAATTAGTGATTGATGTGGGAGGGCCCAGCCCACTGTGGGTGGTACCACCCCTGGGCTAGTGGTTCTGGGTGCTATAGGGAAGCAGTCTGAGCAACCATGGGGAGCAAGCCAGTAAGCAGTACCCCTTTATGGCCTCTGAATCCAGTTTGCTTCCCTGTTTATGTTCCGTCCTTTGCTTCCTTCACTCAGTGGATTATGAGATGGAAGCAAAATATACCGTTTCCTCCAAAGATGCTTTGGTCATGGTGTTTCAACACAGCAGCAGAAACCCTAGTACACAAATATACACATAAAGGCACAAGTACACACACACACACACACACAAACACACACACACACACACACTTTCCTCAACTGCATAGGTTTCTAATCCAGGGTCATCTACTTCTTGAACTCTTGGGGCTTCTGGGCTGTGCATAAGCTCACGATCGGCTCAGGGAGGGACACAGAGACCGGGCCAGCATACTTTACTTTACCGAAGGACCCTGGCCATGGACAGCAAATACGCCTGCAGTGCAGATTCACCTCCAAGGACAAGGGGTCTTTGGAGAAAAGGGAGTGCTTTAAATCACCAAATCACCAAGAAACAGATATGGGGGTGGATTTGAGCCAGCCCCTAACAAATGCTGCAAGCAGAAAGGGCTGCCCTGAGTTGAGGGGTGCACTGACACGTTCAGGGACAGTAGCAGAGCCAGCTGTCCCTGCCTTGGTGGGACCTGGTGTCAAATCTTCATGTTTGCTGATATGAGACTGACAGCTCCTGTATCCCCATGTGGCTGCCTAGGCAATGGGAGAGGGCAACCTCTTCTGCCTGCGGCTGGCATTGCTAACTGTCCAGGATGTAGTTCAGGCTGTTACACCTCCTGCTTCTCCAGGAGGCCACATGGTCATGCAGCTGAGTGCATGGGCTTGAGAACTGGTGTCAGGGCTTGAATGTCTCCCTGCAAATATTTAGCGGTGTCAGCTTTGACAGGTTACCTGGCCTCTCTGTGTCTCAGCTTCCCCAGATATGAGACAGGGATGATGATCAAATCTTAGAGGCTTTTCCTGAAGATCCACTTAACCTGCCTCAGGCTCCCAGAATAGCATCTGGCACGCAGAAAGTGGCTAATGAATGCTGCAATTTCTATTTTTGAGAAACTAGATATCCAGATTTCCACATGAACTGTTTAGCTCTTAAAGCACTAGCAACAAATATGAACAGGAAAATATACATGGACTGAAAGCCATATGCATTGGGGAGGGCTGGACTTGGCCTGTGGGATATATTTGCAGTTTCTGGTCTGCATGTCATGGTGTCCTTCCTGAAAACCTTACAAAGAAGATCTTCTTTTTTCATTTGCTGTTCTTAGGATGAACCATTTTTTTCTTGTCTTGAGTCTGGTACGATGAAAACATAGCCAGCCCCCTTCCCTGTGTTGTGGCACTATAGGGTGGTCTATGGTATTGTTACTATCCTGGCTACTGGGCAGGTCCCTGACATCTCTTCCCTTGGGAACTCTGTTAGAGCCGAAGTAGAGGCTAGATGTGGGGTCTTATGAAGGCCAGCTCGCTTTTGAGCCCTGCTGGGGAGTGTGTAGTTGTGAGGTGTGTGTGTGTGTGTGTGTGTGTGTGTGTATGCGTGCGTGAGGGACTGAAGAAGGGACAAGCAGATAAGTGATGACGGAAAGATGCCCCAGGTGTCTTGGTGAGGCTGCACAGTACTTGGAAGAAAACTCTTAGAGGGGACTTCCTAGACCTTGGTCCTGGCCCCATCGCCTTTCTTTTCATTGTTTCTATAAAATGGGGCTAGATCACCTTCACTCACAAGGACACCCAGAAAGTATGGCAGGTGTTAAAAGAGGCAAGTGGCTTCTGGGTCCATCTCTGGAACTGAGGTGACTGGGTGAGTGACATGGCATAAGGACACATCGGATGGCAAGTGGGCACTGCCAGCCAGGGACGGTACAGACCTTCTTAATTTTCTTGATGTCACTGTCCTCGTCATTGGGGGTGACAATCTGGGTGGACTGGATGCGGTCTTTGTTCTTGAGCAAGGATGCAATCTGCAACAGAATCACAGGTCAGTAGCGGGCAGGGGACACTGACCAGCAAGCAGCGGCAGCACCTGAAGCCTGCTTCCTCTGCCACAAGAGACAATGGTGCTGTGCGCTGAGACTCCCGTCCCTAGCATTTTGTCAGTGAACCACACAGGTGCCAGATGCCTAGACAGCAGTGAACGCCACACTGGAACAAGTCCACCTTGGAGACCGTGGGGGCCATCGGAATGTGGACAAGCTTCTTCTCGGTGTGAAGTGTTGGCTATAGCTGGATCTGTGTTTCTCTTCTGTGTTTTGTAAACCACAGGCTCCTTTTATTTTTATTGTGGTAAGATATATAGGAAGATAAACATTACCATGTGAATCTTTGGTTTCCATGTATGACGTAGAACATGTGTGTGGTATGTGCATGTGTGTGCAGGAGGATGTGCACTTGTATGCTCCTAAAAATAGAGGCCTGAGGTCTTTCCTTGGTTGCTCTCCATCTTTAATTTTTGAAACAAGGTCTATCATTGACAGTGAAGCTCATAAATTTAGTTAGGATGGGTTGCCCATGAATTTCATCCATCTTCACCTAAGGCGGGGATTACAGGCATGTCTCACCATGCTTAACTTTTGACTTGGGTTCTACAGATCTGAACTCAGGTCCCTGTGCTTGAGTAGCAAGAACTTTACTGACTGAGCCATTAATTATTTTTAAACAAGAGTTTATTTATGTATACACACACACACACACACAGACAGACAGACAGACACACACACACACAAATGTGTAGATCAGAGGACAACTTTCAGGGTCCAGTCTCTCCTCCCACCACGTGGGTTCCAGGATGGAACTCACATCGTCAGACTTGGAGGCAAGTGCCTTTACCTGCTGCACCATCTAACTGCCCTCCCCAGTGAATCGTTGTTGAGAGGCTCCCCGTCTGTTTGTAACGTGCAGCCTACATCACCGCCCCTCCCTGGGGTCTTCAGGTGGAAACCCTGTGTCCATTGCACAGGAAGTCCCTCCTCCTCCAGCTGCTGTGCTGCTTTCCATGGCTGTGACTTTGACACCAGGCAGCTCATGTGGAGTTACTTGGTATTTTGTTTAGCATTGCTCCCTCAGGGTTCATTTATTTTGTAGCCTGTGTCAGAATTTTTTTTCACACATATTATCATCCCTAGTTTTCATATATCCCCTTCCTCCTGTCCTTCCATGATTCTCCACCCCTTCAGGCTGTTTCTCTTCCTTCTCCTAGACAGTCCCCTCTCTGCCTTTTGTATCCATCACTCATGTTCCTTCCAATTTCTTAAGATCTCATCTTCCCCTCTTTATGGCTGATTAAAGTTCCACGTGTGCTTTGTACCTTTTCCTTATGCATTCATCTGCTGCTTTCAGGTCCTAGCTATTGTGAACAGAGCAGCAGTGAACATGTATGTACACGGATCTCTGTGGTAGGCAACACTCATCTACTTACAGACACTGGGCTGTCCTTTGTCTGTTCAACAAAAACACGTGGGAGGATAAATCAGATCAGAGCTGGTGGTTCAGAGTTCGGCTCTGTTGGTTGGTCTCCTCCCTGGGTTACCCTGAAGTACTTCTTGGTATCAAAGTCCTCTTTGGAGCTTAACTACTTGCCCTGAAAGCTACGGTAGCCTCTAGAATATCTAAAATAACTTTCATTTGTCTTATTTGGGGATCATAGAGGATCAAGACCAAGACCCAGGGCTGGTGCCCAGGAGCCGGATGCCATAAATGTGTCTGAAACTGTCCCAGAGGACAGGCCAGCTATCATTTTGTACTGGCGTTCACATATTAAAAAGAAAGAACTTTCTATTGAAGAAAAGCCGCCCGTTTTCGCTCCCTGCTTTGCTGAGAGTTCTGTGGAGTAGCTAGAGTGGTCTCATTCATTACAGCTCCTGGTGGCTAGCACAGGACCCAGCATGCAACGGGCCCTTGTTAGCTGGAAAAATAAGTGTATTAAAAACCGATCAGAGCAACAGTGACCTCCAAACCCCCAACCACAGGAAGCTGCAGCAATCACCGAGCCCAGCACATCTAAAGGCAGAAGCTCAGGGAATTCTCTAAACACAGCTGCCGGCAGGCTGCACCCACCTCAGAACGTGAGGCCGTGTGCCCTCAAGGCTACTTGCTGAACCTCTGGATGAATGGCTCTCAGAAATGAACCATTGAAGCCTTTGAAAGTGGAGTGAGCAGTTGCAAGCTCTTGACTCCTAGGCTGCTAAAATTACTCTGGCTGGCCTTCACTTGAAGAGTGTCTGAAAACATCTAACTAGAATGTTCAGTGGAGAAATCTGTTTGCCTGTTCACTCCTTTTTCCCCCCCTCTGAAATACTTCCTTATATTTTCTCCTTCATCCTTAAGTTTAGAACACTTACATGTTGAAATAAAAGGTCAATATTTTGTCATCTAGTCTAAAAGGCTTATGGTACAGTCACACACACAGACACACACACACACGAGGCACACAAACATGACACAAGCATAGAGCTCTTGGTGAGCTCACAGGCTTCTGCTGCTGGGTCAACACCCCCCCCCCCCCCCTTGGCCTGCAGGTCTTTATCTTCATGCCATCTGGCTTTCTTCGCCAGTTTTTTTTTTTTTTTTTTGTATTTGCATGGAGGATGGTGGTGATGGTGTTTGTTGGGGGCTAGTCTGCATTTAAAACTGATGATGGGGCCTGGAGAGTTGGCTCAGTGGTCAAGAGGGCTAACTACTCTTTCAGAGGATCTGGATTCAGTTTCCAGCATCCACAGGGTGACTTATTACCCTCTCAACCTTCAGAGTCAGGAGTCTGATGCCCTCCTTTGACCTCCTTGGACACCAGGAGCACACATAGTTTACAGACAAACAGGCAGGCAACACTAATACACATAAAATAAAATAAATATAAACAAAAAATTAAAAAGCAATTAAAACTTGCAGTGTGCTTCTGACAGGCCTTCTATAGGACATTCAATTCAACCAGTGAGGACCAGGGCAGAAAATAGGTACAACCAGGCCTCACACTGTGCTGTACTGCCCAGTGCTCAGATAGCCCTAACAGTCTTAGAGTCTTTAAAACTCCTTTGTTTGTTCATTTTAGTTATCTGGGTATGTGGTGTTTGTGTGCACGCAGGCACACATGCCTCTGGAAGCCAAAGGACAGCTTCCACCAGTCATTCTTTCCTCCACCATGTGACCTGGGGATTGAACTCATAAGCTATGGTTTTATCCCCTGAGCCTAGAGTCTTTATTAAGGATCAGGCTGGGCGCACAGCTCAGGAGCGTTGGGAACTTGGATTGTTGTAGCAGTCTTGGGCTACGGCCTGTGGCAACTCAGTTTTCTCCCTCTTGCTTTCTCTGGTCCCTTCTAAGCCTGTATAACTCCTTCATGCCCACCCCATCTGAAAACCTCAACGGTGTCTCAGTGTTGGGCTCTGTGACAGGCAGGGTGCATCTAGGATTACAGGTGTGTACTACCACCTGGGGAGCTGAATCAAGAGGTTCCTGAGGCCAGCTGTGGAGGTTTGAATGGGTATGTCCCCCATAGACTCATGTGTTTGAATGCTTAACCCATAGGGAGCAGCACTATTAGGAGGTGTGGCCTTGTTGGAGTAGGTGTGGCCTTGTTGGAGGAAGTGTGTCACTGTAGGGGTGGGCTTTGAGGTCTCCTAGTTCAAACTACGTCCAATGTATCACACAATCTCCTTCTGCTGCTTGCAGATCAAGATGTAGAACTCCCAGCTCCTTCTCTTGCACAATGTCTGCCTGTATGTTCCCATACTTCTTGCCATGAGGACAATGGACGAAAGTTCTGAAACTGTAAGTCAGCCCCAGTTCAATTTTTCGTTTATAAGAGTTGCCGTGGTCATCGTGTCTCTTCACAGTCATAGAAACCCCAAGACCCCAGTCAAGGCTACACAGTGAAGAGTGGTATAAAACAAACGTCCAAAAGACCAGAACAGGGGTGTCTATCCACTATGAAGGGCAGGGCATTTGATTGGAAACATTGCTCCGAATTCCCGGCAAATAGGCCTTTCCTACCATTACACACACCCACACACCCTCACCCCCACACACCGCCACACCCCAACCCAGGCTTCTGACTGGCCTGTTCCTAGTCCCCCGGGGGCTCTGCCCTTTGCACCTGTGCCTTCTTGGACCCACAAACTAATAAACATATTCAAGGCCATCAGCAAACTGAGCTTAATATCCTCTGGCTTTTAAATACCTTGTCAGAACCAAGGCTCACACAGCACCGCTGTGGCCCTGTTCACACTCTAACACAGCAGACTAGAAAGGCAGACATCTCCACACTCCTAGAGCCTTCCAGAGCCTGCACTCACTCACTCACCAAGCCCTCACATGCTATCATGCCAGGCAAGAGGGGCTGAGTAGCAGCAGAGGCCGCCCAGCTGTTATGGAGTTTTTAACCAGGCTGCTGAAATCAAGGGCATGCAGGGAACTTTGTGCTGAGCTTCAGAAAGGCTTGTGAGCTAGGGTCTACAGCGTAAGTTGAGCAGAAGCTCCATCAGGAGGTGGCAGCCCTGGCAGAATTTGGCTAGGTGGAGAGCATGGGCATGAGAAAGGCATGGCGCCCACAAAGGAACAACCGCATGTGCAAAGGCCAGGGGCCGGGACAGTTCAGTGCTCTGGGATGCAGGGTGGGTAATGGGGCCGCAATCCTTCTCTGGTCTCATTGTGTGTTTGTGTTGGGAAGGGGGAGTTCTATTTGGATTCAGGAACCTGTGTTGTGCTATCATACACCTCAGTAGGATGGAGCCCAGGATCAGCCACTGGTGTTAGGAAAAGGACAGTCTGGAAGACTGTCAGAGGCATTGTGCAGAGTAGAAAGACTAGCGGGTGGATGGGAGCGCATGTTCCAGTTCTAGTTCTGTCATTTCTCATCTAGGTGTATTTGGACAACTGACCTGAGCTCTCTCAGCCTGGTTTCACACGGCTTATCCTACTGATGGCAATTGGGGCCGATGAAGGAAATGGGTCTGAAGCTTGCAGGACTAAAGATGGGTCAAATGTGGAACTCCAGTTAAACATAAAGTTGTAAGTTGATATTACTGCTGGTTTAGAGCTTTGCTGTCGCTGGATGAGATAGGGTTGGTGACTCCGAGGCTCTGTACTTTCTAGACAGGGCGGGGAGGTGCCAGGCTACAGCTACAGGTATGGGAAGGAGTTCTGTACACAGATAACCCTGCACCCGGGGCTTCTAGCTCTGAGGATGACATCTCCAGGTTTTTCATCCTTTTCTGTTGGGATCACAGTTTTTTGAGTGGCGCCTGATGGGATCAGGGAGCACAGCCTGGGGATGACAGGTCTGGACCACATGAATCCCACCTCTCATTGCGCCCTGCCTCATTAGGTGGGTTCTTGCATGTCTCTTCTCCACATCCTGGCATCTAGAGTGCCGCATGGGCTGCTAGGGAGAATGCCTGAGAACTTGTACTTCCAGGAGTCAACAGCATCTCCTGGCATGGTACCTAAATGCAGGTTCCCTTTTAGGAGTTCTGGGGTCGCCCAAGGCCTTGGTAACCAGTGACTGGCTAGGCTCCAGGAGGTGTTTGTAGGACTTCTGCCCAATGAGGCCACACACAATAAAACCTTGGTCTCATCATCAGGGGCATACACCAAAAAGCCTGTGATTTATTATTTGATACTTGTGTATCTGGTGAAGGCACAGAGGGAGAGTTTGCAGTAATGACTACAGGTGATATTGTACTCCAGAGTCTGGGGCTGACAATGGTGACATTTAATGTGTCCTTAATAACTTATCTATTAAACATTTCACTCATTCTTATCACCTTGTTTGGTCATAGCAAAGACCCTGCATTATATAAAGCAACTCAGGAGCACAGAAGTGGGGGGACACACTTCAGGTGGTACTTGGTAAACACAGAGGTGGGAGGAGTCTGGGGTTTGACCTGGCCTGGGGACCCCTGGCTTGCAGTCACCTCTGCCTTCAGTCGCTCGATCTCGATCTGGCCGTCCTCGATCTGCTGTCGCAGCTGCTTGGCCACCGTCTTCTCTGTCTCTACTATCTGCAGCAGGTGCAGGTACTTCTGCATGAGCGCCTCATGTTCCGTGGCCAGTGTCCTGTAGCTGTGGACAGAGGTGCATGGCAGGTAAGAAGCTACCCCTGTCTCTAGGCCCTACACACCCCATTGCCTATACACTTCTGGCTTCTTTATTAGCCTGGCTCTCTTGGTTATGTTCTCTTTCTGCCTCTTTTTCTCTCTATATATCTCTATCTTTCTCTGTCTCTCTCTGCCTGTCTCTGTTTCTCCCTATATATTATATATACACATACATACACAGACAGAAAGACAGAACACACACATACACACAATCTCTCTCTCCTCCTGAGACGTTTTCTAGGTAGATAAGCATTTTGAGACATACCCTCACCCCTTTCCTTAACTCCACGCTTCTTCTTAGGCTACTTCTGGGATTCAGCTGAGTTGCCTTGGTGGGCTCCAGGGGTCTTCTTTCAGCACCTGAGCTTCTAGTAGCGTGGTGATGGAGGTGGATACACTGTATGCCTAAAGAGTGCTCAGTGGACACTTGCTGCATGCAAGGGTCACTACAGATGCATGCCTCAGGGCTTGTGGGATATACAGAGGTCAAGTAGGCACATACATCTTATTGTTTATTTGGGTGATACCTGAAGACACTGCACAGGACACAGAAGTGGTGTGAGTCACGGGACCTTAGTGCATGCTAAGAAGGAGGGGACCAGCAATGAGGGGAAGTGTTTAGGTGGCACCAGTGCAGAGAGAGTCTCAAAGGAGGGGAGGAGGTATCTCATCATATTCCTAAATTAACATGTGGTACACAAATGGACAGAATGGCAGAGCAGGAATAGAAGTCGCCCCCCCCCCCCCCAAAGAGAGACCTCGGTCCCCTGTGCTCTGGGTCTGGACCTCTCCCTGATATAACAAGGCCATCAGAGTGCAACACAGCGGTGGAAGAGACCCAGGGTGCAGAGAGGCTTGGCGAACAAAACTCCAGCATCTCAGAGGAAGGCTCTTATCCAGATATGGCCAAGGTCAGGGCCTTGGAAGGGAAAGGTTAGAGTTCTCAAGGATAAATGAGGTCTAGGTCTATATCCCTCACATTCCTCAGATTCTTCCTCTTGCTTCATCCCAACATCACCCCAGAGCCATCTCTTTGCCTTTCCTCTGTCACCCCTACCCATTGCTCTGTCCTCCTGCTCTCTCATCACTAGGCAAGGTCTGTGTCTCCTTTCTTAGTGGCAGTGAGGGGCCCTCCTTTCCTTCCTCTGACTGGCAGAGCCCGGGATAATCCATATGCCCATTAAAGCCCTCTGCAGGGTCTCTGTCAGAGCAAACTGCCTCCGTTCCATCACATTCCATCCTAGGATCCAGAAAAGGTTCAAGTCCGCACCCTTTAGAACAAACCAAAGCTGTCCCTCCACCTCCCTAACTCTACTCGCTCTGTGATGGATAATCCTGACTGTCAAAGTGACTGGCTTGAGATGGCTGGGATGCTAGGAAAACACACATTTCAATGTATTGGTGAGAGAGTGTCTAGTGATGACTAACCAAGGAAGGGCTGGGAGGATTTGCTTTAACTGTGAGTGGCACCGTCCCATTGCTGGAGGTTCAGAAGGAACCAAAGGGGAAGAGGAAGGAAGCCTCTTCCTGACTTGGAGGACACTCTTTCTGTCTGCCTCTGGTGGCCATGAAATGAACAGCTTCCTTCTGCTACCAGCTCATATTATGGTCTGCCCTACCACAGTCAACAACAGAGCCAACGGAGGACTGAAGCTGCTGAAACATGACCAAAATAAACTTTTCTTCCTTAAAGTTGTCCTTCCAGGTATCTGTCCCCTTCTTTCCCATTTGTTCAGCATGCATTCTTGAAAGAGCATCTCACCAGTGTCTCCCAGCACTTTCTGCATCCTATCAGCATAGCATTGGTTTTTAGCACCCATAGCAACTGGCTCCTCCTCTGGGGTCACCCACTCTCTCCTACTGGTGAGACTGATAGAATGTGAGATTGATTTTAGCCTGCCAGCTTCTGGCATTATTAGCAGGCAGCCCTGCGCACATTTGGCCAGTGGGGTCAAGCCAGGGAGGAAGGTCTTTGACTCAACCTCAGGAGCCTGTCGCATGAGCTCACAAAGTGTCTGTGGCCCTCAGTGTTTGAGGTGAGACTCTCAGGAGGCCATGGCAGAAGTAACCTTGCATCAAAGAAGGGCCATGCCGAGGTGCTGAAGTAGGCAGGTTAGCTACAGAGGGTCCTATTCTCTGATGATGCCAGAGATACCTTCTTAGGAGGAGGCTAACTGTAGCCATATCTTGAGGGTGGGAGGGCATAGCAGGAAAGGCTTGCTCCATCAGGCTCAGGACAGCTGTGGCAAGGAAGGGACCTGGGGAAGAAACTTTGGTCCAGAGAACTGATCTCTTAAGTAACGGACTGTGAGAGATGCCATCCCAACATAGCACTCCGAGAAAGATTAAAATGGCGATCTGGGTGCTTCTTTTGTGAAAATGGACACAGACTTGAAGGACTTTCCAGCTTCCTCGGATACTTAGTTGTCTTCACTTGCAAGCAAAATTCAGTTGAGAGCAAGGAGTCTGCACAGGGGTACGAAGCACAGCTTCTTCATCAGTCTGGACTTACTAAGGGAAGACACTCCAGTGCTTCCAAAAGGAGTCTCTTCTGCAGGTTATCTGCCTGCGTTCCCTTCCCCATTCCCTTCCCTCCTCCTTATCCTCCTCTTTCTTTCCTCCTTTCTTCTCCCATCATCCCACTCCTTCCTCTTTGTTCCCACTTTTTCCTTCTCTTCCCTATCCTTTTCCCTCTCTTCTACCTCCCTTTCTCCTTCCCATCTCTCTCCTCCTTTCCTTCACCCTCCTCTCCTTTTATGCTTTGAATGTGAAGTCTCATGTGTCAGGAAATAAGTGCAGGGAAAGCTGGGGCCAAGAACAGCAGGGCTGCTGCAGAGATTAGCACTGTTAAAGAGGCCACTGGACAGGAGAGATGGCTCAGTCAGGGGAGCACCTGCCACTCAAGAGTGAGAAATTTAGTTCAATCTACAGAACCCATATTAAAAATATAAATAAATAAAATAGGCCATGATGGTGTGTGCTTGTAATCCCAGCACTGGGGAGGTAGAGGTAGACAGATCTAGCCTAGCCTACTTTGAGAGTATCTGCCCAATGAGAGACCTACACACACACACACACACACACACACACACACACGCCAGACTTCACCCACTACAAGCTCAAGGATATTTGAGAGTCCTTGCTTTGAGGAAGCCACAGGGAATCTATGAAAGTCCTTCCCTACATCCAATCATTAAGTACTCAGAGGCAGCTGCAGGCATAAGGCAATCTGTTTGTGGCTGCTGCTGGAGCCAGCGGCAGAATCTGGTGTTACCTATAGGACACTGGTTTTAGAGGCATGCAGGATGTGAGTTGTGGGTCCCAGAGGTTTCCACCCAGATTTCAAAAGAAGGCTTGGGAAGCTAGACAGTATGGGAGGGTCAGAGACCCTTTGGGTAGTCCCTGAGAGGATGGAGTTGTGAGAGTAGGGGATGGAGCTCTTGGAGCCCTCAGGAGGTTGGAGATACCAAGACTGGGGAACATCTGACCAGGAGAGTTTTAGGAAGTCAACAGGGCTTCTGAGAGGTGACATTGAGGAGCCAGGAGTTGACACACTACCTGGGGCATACAGAGAGGGAGAGAGGCCATGGCTAGGTAATAAAGATGGCGAACTTCCAAGAGGGCTGGCTTCTCTCTCACCCTCATGACTTGAGACATACACCTTACAGTTTTTTTAAAAAAAAATGCCTTAATGAACATTTTATCCTGTCAGTAGGGCTGACTCCTGGCTCAGGGAGTCCCAGCCTGCATCAGGACATGTTTACACAACCCCTGCAGGCCAATCAGCCGTACCTTCTTTCTTCCAACTGAACAATCCTATGTTAGGTAAGGGACTTTAAACTATCCCAGTCCTCAAGGAGAAGCCACGCTTCAGCTTCCCCAGTCCTGCTCTGCTTTGCAGAGGGGTCTTTTCTTTGTGTGCTTGCTGTGTGTGTACAAATCCTCACCCTTTCTTGACTGCCTGTATGCTAACACCCTTCCCTACCCAGCTATCTGCTTTCTTTAATCGGCCTTAACCTTCCAGTTTCTCCTACCTCCCAACAGTCCCTTCAATGATGAATTTATCCTGGGTCAGTCCACTGATTAGGTCAGAGCTGGCTTGAGAATTTCCCTGTGGCTACCTGTTGTGATGGAGAATTTTTTTCCTGACTTTTAATTCTTTAACCGACAAAAGAAATGAACCTGGTCAAGATCCCTAGATGGTAACAATATAAAGCCACAGCCAGAAAAGACGACAGGGATGGGATTTTCCAAGCTTATGGGAGGTTATACCATGCCCCAGATCCTGGGTATGCTCGAGACATGACCTTGATACCCAGACATGGAGCTACATGGTATAATGTTTGCCTGACTGGGTGTTGGCTTCATTCCTCTTTCTATGTTTCTATTCCTCTCTTTGGGAAGAGGGAGGGCCTTATCACTGTACGTTAGAAGTCCATGACTTCCTTTTTTATTTTATAGATGTTAACAGCCACTGTTGCCTTGAGTCATTGAAGAGTTTAGACTTAGCCTTCTGAGAAATTCTGGGGCTATTAAGACTGGGGACCTTTGGGGACATGGTAAATACATTTTGCACTGTGAGATGGCCATGGGCCTTTGGGAGCCAAGGGAAAAATATTATACTTTAGTCTGGAATGTTCCTCATGGGCTGATGTTTAAAGGCTTGGTGGCCAGTAGATGGGCTTTGGGGAGCAATTGCGAGGGCTCTGACCTAATCAGTGGCCTGGCCTTTGATGAATTCGTCATTGAATGACTGTTGGGAGGTAGGAGAAACTGAAAGGCTAAGGTCTAACTGGAGGAAGAGGGTTGCTGGGGAGTCTCTTTGAAGGGTGTGCTTGTCCTGCAGGTCTTGAGTCTTGCTGCTATGAGGGGAACAGTTTCCCTTGGCCACACCCTTCTGATAAGCTGTTTATATCCTAATACAGGCCTAAATTTCATGGAGCCAGCCAACTATGGGCTGAAACCATGAAGCAAACTAGGTCTTTCTTTCTTTAAGCTGATTATCTCAAGTATTTGGTAACAACAGTAGCAACAACAAGAAAAACATTACTTTCCCTCCCTTCGCTCCCTATCTACCCACCCAGCACCCCCTTCTTCACATTCTCCTCCCCTATTTCTTCCTCCTTCCAGTGGGGACTGAGCCACTCCTGGTGTGTGTAGTCTTTATGAATTCATGGACTTTCAGAACTAGAAGGAAAGTCAGGGGTCATGAAAAGCTGACTGTATGATTTACTCAATGAAGACACTGAGGTCCAGGAAGGAGAAGCAATTTGCTTAGAACAACAGTTGGTCAGTGTCAAAGCTGGAGGTGGAATCGGCCCTAGGATCTGAGAGGGCATTTCAGTCTCTCTGCCCCCTGGCCTGGCATCTAGTTCTCGCTAACAAGCTGGATATAAAGCATATTGGCTGCTTTATCTTATAAATGACTACACACATACACTACAGAGACATCCCATAATACTAGACTGTGATACACACAGAGTGAGAGAACATTGTGTCTCTACATGGCTATTAATACACCACAGTGCTTATTTTTATACACGGAGTGTTTCTATTAAGTATATGTAAATAAAACTAAATTGCGAATATGTAAAAATGCTTCATACTCAATATGGCTGTGGCAGACAGCCAGTTGTTGTTGCCACTGCTGCACACACACACACACACACACACTCACACACGCATGCGCACAGACACACACACACACACACACACACACACACACACACACTGTTGTAGAATGTGATCTTCCAAGTTGACATTCTGTCATAGAAGGAAGGGGTTGGGAGGGTCATTGGATCTTCACCAGAAACTCCAGTTGCTTCCTCATGGTCATTTTTACATGTGGCCTTGGGGTGCGGGAAGGAGTTAGCATATATTGTCTGGGGAAAGTTGACAGAAGATGGCTTCATCTCTGTGACTATGGGAAAGTCATAATCTACGCTGAATGAAGATTTTACAGTGTGGGCGCTGTACAGCCCTGCCAGTAATCCCTCACCGCTCTGTAACTGAGCCCAATAAATTTGTTCATTGCCCAGGGTGAACCCTGTAGAACCTTTGGTTTTCTGGTTGGGACTTTACAAAAACAAGGTGGACTTATTTTTTTACTTCTCCCCAGAGAAGGAATTCTTGCAATACATGCATATCCACACATGTACATTCTCTCTCTCTCTCTCTCTCTCTCTCTCTCTCTCTCTGTCTCGTTCTCAGGTGGAAGTTGAATAAAGCTCATAGTTTAAGGACCTGACCTTGATTTTAGCCTCAGAAATCTCAGTTGAGCCAGGACTTCTTATCCACAGAACCACAAAGTAATGAAAGGATATATCAAGCTGACAAGTCTGTGGTGATTTGTTATCCAGTAAAAGAAAATTGAAACATTTTAATATTCATCATTCATTTTAAAAATATGAGCTTCAATACACATAGTGGGGAAAGCACAGATCCTAACATCACAGTGCTGAGGAAGGCAAGCCTAGGAAGTAGTTGAGCAACTTGAGACCTCACTTGGCTTAGGATATACCTACACCTCTCTTTTAACAGTGCAGTGATAGCCTGAAGTTCTTACTTGCATATAATACACACACACACACACACACACACACACACACACACACACACACGTACACACAGGCACACACAGACACATACACACTCCTTTAGGAAACTCACTTGGCAACCTGTTAGCAACCCAGGACTCCTATCTACACTGGTTCACTTGCTCATCCCCCTTTGAAGAATGCAGTGTTGCTTCTCTTTTCCTTAACAACCATCAAACTTAGACAGATTCTATTCAGTCATACTCTAGTTATGTTCTGCTGTAGAGTAGGAAGGTCAATCTGGCCTGAACTAGCTTTGGGTGCATTTGCTATAAGGCCAACTGCATCCTTAAAGTGAATTTTTAGGGAAAACCCCTCATTTACCATCATGTGATCAAAATCAGATGAATTATGGAAAGGACATGTGCAGCAGAAAAGACGTCTATAACTTAATATATTGATCAAGACAAAAATCCACCCACACCCTTAAGCAACAAAATCTTGTCCTTTATTTGAGCCCCATCGAAGGTTCTAAACAATGATTGGGCCATGAATCTTGTCACTCTTGGGACCTGCTGTCTCTCTTGACAGAGTATCTGACGTCTTCTACCACTTTGCTACTTTCACAGTTTTGTGTGGACCTTTCAGTTCTTTGAAGAAGATACTAAGAGCCTGAACATACCCGGTCCAGGTCCCAAACACTGGTAACAGAGTGAACGATTATGAGAGAAAAGCATAAACCCTTCATCAAGGCAAAGCTAACTTGTAGCACCGAAGAAGCACTTCCCACTCTATTCCCACCCCAGAAGCCACTGCTGTTCCGCTTTCCCTCAACCTGTTTAGTTTTGTCTCATCTAGAATTTCATATAACTGAAATCGTACAGCACATATTTTTCACTATCTCTACTCAGCATATTGATTTTGAAATTCATCCATCTTGTAGTACATAACTGTAGTTGATTCATGTTTATTTCTCAGCAATGTTCCATGGCATGGATGCATGAGAGATTTGTTTATATACTAGCTTGTTAATGGACATCATGGCTGATGGTTTGCATAAGGCTGTTATGGAGATTTACAGAGGAGACTTTTTGTGGTCATTTCTCATCTCTTTTGGATAGGTCCCAAGGAATGGAACTAACAGATGACAGAACATATGGTAAGCAGCTGCCGGGTCATGTCTCGGTCTGGTTGTGCCGTTTCTCACCCCTGTGGTGCTGCCTTTGTCCTTTCAGCTTTCCACCAGCATTTGGTGTTGTCCATTGTCATCATCTTAGTCACCTACCTTATAGACACTGCGATTGCATTGTCTCTAGAAATTGTATTGATTCTGTACTGATGAACAGTGAATTAAAATTCTAATGCAGTGCCCATAAGCCAGCTCAGCAGGTAAAAGGTACTTGCCATATGCCTGATGACCTGCGACCTGCGTTTGACCCCTGGCTTCCACGTAGTGGAAAGAGAGACCCAGCTCCTGCAAATTGTTCTCTGACCTCCACATATACAGTGTGGCATGTGTGACTCCCACAAAGTAAATAAATAAATGCAAAATAAAGCCCCTCTAGGGCTTAAATATTTATGATATTCTTTTATGTAAATGATTTCACTTGATCTTCAAATGAAATGTTTTGGTCTCAAAATCAAGCCCTGTTTGTTATTGGTTCTCCTTTGAAGCTGGGAGGCTGAGGTGCAATTGCTCTCCTTGAACCTAGGTTTCTTTACTCAACTTCATCTTGAACAACCCAGAAATTCTTAGTCTAAATCAGATCTGGTAATGTTACTCTTCTGGTGTAAGACTTTCAGTGGCTCCCGTGGTTCATAGAGGAAAGGTCAAACATCTCAACAAGAAATTTGTGGACATTTACGGTCTCATGACAGCCAATTGTCATATGCTTTAATTTTTTTTATATATATTGTGTGTGTGTGCATGTGTGTGTGTTTATCTGTGGAAGCCACAGGATAACATTCCCTTCCACCAAGTGGGTCCCAGTGTTCAAACCCAAGCCCTCAGGCTTTGTGAGATTGTGCCTTTATCTTTTGAGCTATCTCATTGGCCCTCAACTGCTTTTTAACTTCTAAACTTTATCTCCTCATTATTTTTTAAATTGTCTTCCATGTAGGAGTGCTTTAAATAAGAGGATTTGTGTGTGTGTGTGTGTGTGTGTGTGTTTTTCTTGAGGGAGAAAGGGAAGAAGGAAGGGAGGGAAGTATTGTTGTTGAGATGCTGATATTTAAACCCATTAAATCTTCCTACCCCCATTTCCCTGAAGATGGAAATGACGTCACTCTCCAAACTCTGTTATCTCTCAGGGGGAATACTTGTGTGGTGGCCAGGTCCAGCTCCCTGGGACTTTATACTAGACCTGTGTCTATTGCCTTTTCTAATAGAACTTGATCTCTGTAGCTAAGACTGGAAGCTTTTTGTGGGCAGAAATAGAGAAGGCATGGTCTTTGGGCTAAAGCCATTGCTAGGGTCACTAGATAGGTTTCTGGGCAAGGGAGTTTCAAGGACCACAGGATCCATCTATTCATCTGTCCTTCTACCCTTTACATATACTTCAAACACTCATCCATATCATTTTATCTTCCATTCATCTATCACTAATTTTCCATTCATCACTGATTTTCAACCTTTAGCTCTGTATCCACCCTCCCTCCTTCCACTCGTCTTTGCATTCTCCCGTCTCCCATCTGCTAGACACATTTTCTGTGTTTTTACCGATCATTGAGAATGCAGAGTCACACATTGCTCCTGACCGCAGAGTTCACATTGTATAGGAAGGTAGACACACTAGCACCACATTATTTCCTAGGTCAATAAGATCAGCTGTCTAGAGGGTCAGCTGGCTGGTGCTACACATGGTGCTCCAAGTTCTTAGCTCTGCCAGGGCATGGTTAGGTGGGGACTAATTCATGCTCACACATCAACCTGGTGGCTGCACCTATAAGAGATGGGACTATGTGGTTAGAACAAAGTGGGAGTTTGCCGTATTCTCATTCTCTGGGGCAGCTAAGACTTTTACAGCATCTACACCTCCTCTTCTTCGTTCCCACCTCCTTGTCCTAAGACTTGGGCTGGCAGAAGTTTGCTTGGTCTGGTCTCCTCTGCTGCGATCTTTTAACAGGGTGAGGCATACCTGGCGTGAGCAATTGCTGCCACCCACTCGTCACAGTCCTTTGCATCCTCAGTCCTCAGCTCCAGCGCCTTCTGATTCTCATGGGTGAAGTTCACTGTGAAGTAATGCTGCGCCGAGAAGAAGACACAGACACCACAGTCATCAGGAAGTCCATAAACCCCACACCCTCCCTGCCATAGTGCTGAATGCCTGCCGCCTCTGGAGCGGGGCCCAGATGCATTCTTTGTGGTCACTGGAACACCATTCTGTTGAGTAGTTTTGAGTGCTCAATCAGAAAGGCTTTTGTGTGATGTAACAAAACCTATGCTTAGGATGTGATGAGGAGGCAAACCCCACACAGCCTTATTTGCCAACCAATTACAAAAAAGTAAAAAAATAAAAAGCCAGTTTGAAACCATCAGGCACTCTGGAAAGACAGCAGGCAGGAAAGCACACCAAGAGAACATCTCTGTGGGGGACTAGGTACCAGTTTAATGCAGCATGCCTTTAACTACTCCACAAAAACTCACTAAGCCCTCGTCTAGATGCTGGGGTGACAAAGCAAATCAATGGTACAGTCACCGGGAAGTCTCATTGTAAGTCTCTTCTATGCTGAGTCCATAGTGGGACTGCCTCCCTGAGGTCTCCGGGAAGCTGTGGAGCCAGGTAAGAGACACACAACTAGAAACCCGGCAAAGCTCTCTGAGCCACACTTGGCACCGAGTAAGGATGACATGAGCATGCGCAGTAATTAATGCCCTATGATCGCCGCCGTGCCAGAGGTGAGAGGGGCTGTGGAACACGGAGGAAGCCCCTGATTCCACCTAGGGAGACGAAGAGGAGCTTCTCAGAGGATGCGTCCTGAGTCTTGGTTCTCTTTCAAGTCAACTGGAAGACTGTGGGCAGAAATGCAGGTACCTGGAGCTCATGGCTGGCGGGAAGTAGAGAAGATACGCTGTGTAGATGGACAGAAGGCGGAGGGGTTCTCATGAGCAGGAGTTCAGGGGCATACAGCACAGGTGAGGGGAAAGGGGTGAGGGTGATGTCCTGGTTTCTGATTTGAGTAACTGAGTTGCCATAGTCAGGAGTCTATGAGTGGCAAGGGGAGGGGGCAGATGAGGAGGAGATGGACATGCAGAATGTGGGGCTCCGGGGACAGCCTTGGGGTCGAGAAAGAAGCCAAAAAGAAGTCATTTAGAGGGAGGGAGAACCCCAAGAGAGGGACTCTTTTGTCTCTTGGAAAGAAGCAGGGTAGGCTGCAAAGAGGGGCCTTCAGCCTGCCCTTTGAAAAGTGTGCCATACAGGTGTCTCTGCTTCTGTGCCTAGGTGTCCAGGTGGCAGGAAGCAGCAACACAAGGTGAAGATATGGAAACTAATTTTAGTAACTGACTTGTACTTTATTTTTAATTGCCATTCTGTCTGATAGACTCGTGTGTGTGCATGTGTGCGTGTGTGTGTATGTATGTATGTCTCTCTCTGTGTGTATGTGTGTGTGTGTGTGTGTTAGGGGGTGGAGGGAAGACTGTTGCAGAGTTAGCGTTTTCCCTTGTTTCCTAGGAAACAGATAACTGGGCCTGTAACATGAAATGTCAGCTTTAGCCTCGAACAACTGAAGAAAAAGCTCCAGTGGGCACTGGCCCTGTGGGAAGGAAGCAGGTTAAAAGAGGAGCGGCAGGTGGCCACTTAGCTCCTTCCCTATCTGAGGGAAGGAAAGGAGCCTGTAAGTGTTCATCGTAAATGATCTCGTTTTGTCCCATATTCACCAAGCGCTGCAGGCATGATCTGCTTTCCAGATAGCGACCCTGACCCTTGAAGAAGCTGAGCAAGTGGAGAGCAAAGGAGCCAATTGGCATACCTCCTACTTGGGACCTGGTCTTTGTCACTTGGATGTAGATTGCTGGGTGCAAGTTTCCTTTTTCCTCTCCAATATTGGAGCTTCAGAGAAGCACTGACCCCTGGGCCTTAGACTGCTCAAGGTCAGGGTTGTGTCTGAATGATCTGGAGTGTTCTCAGCCCTACCCTGTGCTGGTTCTGAATGAGCAGTAAATGGCTGAAGGAGTGGATGAATGGGGTGATGAGGGCTCTGCCCTAGCCTCTGGGGTCTCTGTAAGGCACCAGGAATGCGGTGCCTATTTTTTTCTTTTGACTCACATTAATAGTGACCCGACACAACTCTCCTGAGCACGTGCCCCATGCCTGTCCCAATGCTGAGTATAGCAAAGTCCCCCACCCAATAGAGAGGGCAAGACCATAAGCTCGTTGCTTTTGCTTAGTTGGAGTCTGGACCTGATGTTTTAGTTTTATTATCCCCAAGACAGGGCTCCGCCAAACACGCAGAGCCTGTGATGGACCCTGAGGGTGACTGGACTTTCTCTGGGCCAGCTGTTTCCCACCTACTCTCTATCCAGGATGGTGATTAGGGAACCTGCTGGGGAAGTGGGTCCTGCTGCTAAAGCAAGAGGAAGGGGAGGTTTTGTGGAGGTGTGAGAATGGCCGCAATGATGAATGCTCCTGGTCTGAGAATGGCGGAAGACAGGGTTTCGAGGAAAGGGGACAGAGACGGGATTCCCTTTTGCAGCTGATTGGAACCCTGAGGTGCCTGAGCTGAGAAAGCCTTAGCTGTTGCTGTCTCTTTCCCCCTACCAATGTCTTATTGAGCAGCGGGTGTTTGCAAACACTGGAAGAGCTGTATATTGTAGAGTAAAGCCCACATAAGCTGCCATCTGGGATCCTGTTGCACTCTGTAGCCCCGAGGACAGCCTTGGCCTTCAGGAGAGGTTCCTAGTGAGTAGTTACTCCAGATGGAAGATTCCTCTCGAGAGTCTGCCACAGACATCCAAGGACGGTGGAAACATCTTCCCACACCACAGAATGACTCTTGTGTGAGTACCTTGCTCGAGCTTGGCAAACGCCTGGTGCTCACTGCAGAGGTCATGAGTGGTTCTGGTTTAACTGTTTCCCCACCTCCCACGGATGTGAGCCTGAGTCTGTGACAGGTTTAGGTGTCCTGTTATTCTGGGACTTCGGAGAATGAGAACATGGAAGAGTCAGGGTTGGAATAATGTGACCTCACAGCCAGACTGGGTCAAGTAACGCATGCCTCATCTACCTCGGCACAAGGGGCAGTCCTACCTGGGACAGAGCGTGACAAAGGAAAGGGGGGCAGGCACGTTTAGTCCAGTCTCCTCTGTGTGGGCTTGAAGGAAGAGGGAGACTGCATTTGGAAGAACTTTTTTCAATTTATTTTTTGTGTGCATGTGTGTACATGTTCATGTGTGTGAATTTGTCTATATGTTCGCATTTCGTGTGTAGGCCAAATGTTTACATCTTCATCAGTTGTTCTCCATCTTAAGTTTTGAGACAGGTTTACTGAACCTGAAGCCCAGGGATTAATAGTGGTATATTATTTGCATTTTAATAATTAAACCAACCCCCAAACCAGAAAAACAAAGCAGCCAAGCCACTAGAGAAGTCTACCAAAACTGGGTGACCACAAAACTAAATAGACTAAGTCTCTCTCTCATCTCATTTTATATTTCCTCTAGTGCTGGGATCAAAGGTGTGTGCCTCCCTCAGACTGGATTAAAGGTGTAGGCCACCACCACCTGAATTTGTTTCTGCATGGCTCTTATATAGGCTGGGGTGGCCCTGAACTCACAGAGATCCATCTGGCTCTGTCTCCTAAATATCTGGGATTAAAGGTGTGTATCAGCATTACCTGACTTATAATGGCTTTAGCTTTGCTTCTGGTCTTCAGTCAAGATTTAATTAAAATACAGATAACATACCACTATAGGGATTGGCTGTGTTGGGTGGCCAGCAAGCCTAGGGGATCTTCCTACCTTCTACCGCCCTAGTGCGAGGGATTAGTCATGGGCCCCCATGCTTAGCTTTTTCGTGTGTCCTGGGGATCCAAATTCAGGTTCTCATGCTTGCATGGCAAACAATTTACTCACTGATCCACCTTCCCAGCCTCTTTATTTTCTTTTGAAGAAATGGCTATACTCACTTAGGGAGGAGAAACGAAGGAGCAGTTCATAGTCTTACGTATTTGAATGACAGCGATGAAGAGCCCAGGGGCCTTGTGTTTTTTGAGAAGTGCTATGCTGGCAAGTCTTACGAGGTAGATCACCTTGAGCGTTGTTCAGTGGGTTTTATCCCTGTTTCTTCATCTATGCGATGGGCATAAGAGACTCTTTTTCTTTTATAGTTCTCGTAAGGTCCAACAGAGAGAACACTGGTGCCATCACACAAACAAGTCCCCAGTGTGCGCTCGCTGCTCTTTTGATTTTCTCCCTATCTTCACAACATCACCCCACCCTGTAATCACCCCCCCCCGTAATCTTGTTGGCCAGCACAGCTTCTTGGATGGTATGTTTTGCTGCAGTTGGGGGATAAAAATATGGTTATCCTTCAGGCCCCGTTTCAGTCTAGAATTTATGGGTAAAGTTTGGGGCAGCATTGAATGTTCAGAATTATGGAGGTTCTCATGGGTGACTAGCAAAAATACAGGAACACATTGAAAACATGCCTTCCCCATGGGGGAGAAACCCTCATATCTTCTGCTGGCCCCCACCCACTGGAGGGCAGCCTTATCCTTAGGCTGGTTCACACTGCACTCAAAAGGAGACAAGATAAAGGCAGAGGGGATGCTTGCCACAGCAGCTCTGCCTTCAACAGTGGCTCGCAGGACTCAGCTAAGTCTGTCTCCTGTCTCTGTGTCCTGGACAGTGAGCAAAGCTTCTGGCTTGGATGAGTCAAAGTTCTGCAAAGATACTCATCTTGGTTCTTTGAGCCGGGAAAGACATCACATCTTCTTTCTGCTCTTTCCTTGCCTCTCTGTCTAGGTCTTTTCATCCTCTGTGGGTCTTGGTCCCTGTGCTTCTCTGCAACACCCACTCCTCTTCTCACCCCTCTTCCCCTGGCAGGTGGCTCCCAAGGTCAAGGTCCAGATCTATTCCCCAACCCCATCCTAGGATAATCCTTTTTTTCCCAAAATTTCTGGTACCGATGTCAATTGTCCACTGCTGAAGTCAGGTGAGAAGGACTTGTGTCCTTGGCAGCTGGGGATGGGTTGGAACTTGGAGTCCCACCTGCTCAGCCTCTCCCTGGCTTCCTGTCCTGCCCA